TTATAAATGTTTTCCTTTTTTGAATTAAATTTCCTTGAAATTTAGGCAAGTTTAACAAAGCCTAAAAACTTGTGAAAAGTCGTTTATTAGAATTAGATCTCTTTTTAGAAGAAACCTTGGGCTGTTTCATTTGGGTGCAAGATCGTCTATCAATACAACCCCCCTCCCCCCGTTAATTGGATTATAGAAAAAATTGTCATCCATCCTTTTTATTATAATTAACAAAAGACATTTCAAAAAACAAGAAGTGTAAATAAGATGTTACAATTTGATGAGGCCGGTCACTAATGGTTTTCCCGGTCCATGTTTTAGAGCTAGTCCAACCCTGTATATATATATATATATATATATATATATATATATATATATATATATATATATATATATATATATATATATATATATATATATATATATATATATATACATATATATATATATATATATATATATATATATATATATATATATATATATATATATATTGTTGCAAGTTTTTTTGTACCAAATAGAGATATAAAGCCTCTATATATATGTATATATATATGTATATATATATACATATATATGTATATATATGTATATATATATACATATATATACATATATATACATATATATGTATATATATGTATATATATGTATATATATATATATATATATATATATATATATATATATATATATATATATATATATATATATATATATATATATATATATATATATATATATATATATATATATATATATATTGTTGCAAGTTTTTTTGTACCAAATAGAGATATAAAGCCTCTTGTACGTTTTTTTATAGTGATCAATATAATGTAAATTAATTATTTACAAAATAGATCATCAATTATATGTAAAAGTTTAACTAAATGAAAAAATACATCTTTATGATGGAACTTAAAGTTTCATGTCATTTCGGCAATCATCAGCCTTAAATATTTTTTATTCAAGAAAAACCGTTAAAAATGCAAAATACAAAACAACAATAGAATGGGTTCTGACGTCAAAACAAAACAAAAAATAACGTAGAAACTGGATTAATCTCCGATATCGAAATTAGCCAGAAGAATTTGTTTCTATGCCTGCACTTGGATATTATTTCACTTCTTTTATTTAATAAGTTTGGTTTTCTAGAGAATAGAAATTTCATATTTCTCATTTATGCATAAACGACAAGATTTTTTCGTAGGGTTATAAGCATTAGACTGTTTGATTATTTTCCATTTAACTATAGGATTCAATTTAGCTTCCTTTAATTTCGAAAACTCTTTTGATAACTCAGTGTCATTTTTATACCTGATAATATTAAATGATTTTATGTGATTAGCGTATCTTATTTTAAAAGGTGTTTCACTTATACCGATGTAAAATTTGTTTATAGAAGTTTGGGCAGGATCATTGGAGGTTAAATTAGCTTGGTATACGATGTTATTTGTGAGGTATTTCTTTGCTAAAAGGCAGGTCTTTTTATCAAGGCAATTACTTTTAGTGGTAATTTTGTTGTTCTTTAAAATATGACGATTGTGTGCATTTAAGATAGATTTCATATTTGACATGCAGCTGTAACTTACTTTTATTGTGTTTCTATTAAAAATCTTATGGAGCTTGTGATTAACAGGGAAGTGTTTATCGATAAGGGTTCAAAAAAATTTTCCTATATTTGTACCAAAGTTTTTGCTGAAAGGAGGGGGGGGGGGGGGTAAACCAAATGATATTGCGTTTACGGTGCTTAGCATGAGTTGAATTTAAGTTAGGATGATAAGAAAGCTTATGAACGAAACCTGATTTTAACAATGCTTCGTTATACATGTCAGTAAAGTTTTGAAATATTTCTTAGCTTGACGAATTTGCAGATAATCTTAACTCGATAGAACGCGGAAGTTGTTTTAAAATACTGGGTGTATGGTTTAAATCAACGTGAATATAAATTAAAAAGTTTCTACGTTACTTTTTGTTTTGTTTTGACGTCAAAACCCATTCTATATATATATATATATATACGTAAGAATATATATATGAATAAAAAAATATCTTTATAATACTATGTATAATATTTTATAATTAAAAAAGTGCTCAATAGATAAACTAGAGCTATATAGTATATATGTTACTGTGACACGCAGTACCAGGAATCAGCTTAATGCTAATGTTTACAATTTAATATTGCAACTCTGAGTTTCATGCGTTTACGACAATCTTCAGGCAAGTAGTAAAATTTAATATTGCTAAGATATGTTTAGTGGACGTTACGGTTTATATTTATATTTTAGGTTGTTACGGGGCGACGGAAGATCGACGGAAATTGTTTAGTAGTTAGCTTAAGTGAGCACAACCCCATAAACAAAAAAATTTATTTTTGATAGTTTAATAATTTATTCTATTTATTAAGTAAATTCATAATAAAACTACGATAAAAATAAAAAAATTTAAAAGAAAGATTTAAAAAATAAAAAGGGTCGCCCTGAGGGCCAATTTTTAAGGGGTAAAAACTTAAAAATTTTTCATTTTTGTGGCAAAAATATTTTAAAATGCAGAAGATCACATAGAATAAAATTTTGCATATAACTAGCTTGATGTTAGAGAAATGCGATGAACCTTAAAAAACTTATAACATACTTATTCCTTAGGGTCGTGCTTTATTTCTTTAAAGGATGCAAAAAAAAAAGAAGCTATTTTTAACCCCCCATAATGACTGAAAAATTGCTATATTTTATTTTTGACACATACATTCATATAATTTTGATGTTTATTGCACAACTTGATACGTAGTCAACAAACTGTCCTAATATAATAAGTTTTGGTCACACTGTTTCTAAAATATCCTTGCCACAGTAAAGCAAAATTAATACAATATTGATATCTCATAAAAAAAAGTTTTATAGAAGAGATTTATAGAAATTTATAATAATAATTTTGTCTTGAACCTTTTTATCTATTGAATATTGCACCACAGACTATGTTGCACCAAAGAAAAACTGATGATTTCCAAAAAGAAGTTGTTGCTATGCAAAATTAGGTACCCATAGCAATTAAATATACAAATTTTCATTTTCATAAGAAGCGCGGACCTCATTATGGTATTCTTGCGAAATTAGGTGAATACACTACTAATATTAATTTTGTCTCCAAAATATCTTTTCTGGCCCAATGTGGTTTCTAAGAAAGCGCTCTAACGACTGCACCGCGGCTGCTATATTGGTACCCTATAATTCTAATAAAGTTGTATATTACAAATAAAAATCTATTGGACTTAATATAGACAGTTAAGTTCCCAGATGATATTTGTTTATTCCTATATGAGTCATAAACGTTTAGGACTCCTGTAGAAATAAAAATATCTACCATGTTAATAAGTATTATTGTTCCTAGTCCAAGGCAAAAATGATATCATCGCATTGAAATTCATTTAGAGCCATTATTGCTTTTGAATGCATTTCCTTTTTGAGTCTCATGTTGACGTATGTGTTTGATATATTTAGTTACTTGGGGCTGAGATTCCATCGGATAGTAATGAAGATGGGCAAAGTCAATAACAATTGTTTCTTGTAAAAAAAAATCTTGTTTAAAGAGTAGATTACGAGGTCATCCGTTATAAAATGATGCAAAAGCTTTTCTCGTACTATTCGCTTTACATAAGGTCTTTGATTTCCTTTACAAATAAACAACTTTTGTTAGCTCTTCATCATGAAAACTCTTAAAAATACAAACTCTTTAGAAATAAAAAAAGATATCGATGATTATTTTTAGAAACAAAAATCTTTTATCACAAAAAAATTTTCTTTGAACTTTTAGACCTAAAACCAATTACTGAGATGATATTACTTCCCCACTTAGAGAAAAAACATTTGTTTACTATCCAAATTCTCCGAGCCATTAAGGGTTAAGATTAAAAAAAAAAAAAAAATCTTAATAAAACAATAAATATAATAAAATAAATATAAAAATTTAACAAAACTTAGAAATTTACAAAAAAACATTTAAATAACAAATACATGTAAAAAGTATTACAATAGTCAAAACAAGCAAATTAAAAAATGTCAAAAAAAATCCGTAAATAAGACACAAATAAACATAAAAGATAAAAAAAATATATATAGTTTAAAAAAGACAAAGAAATTAATGAAAAATTAAAAAATAAAAGTGCTAAATTTAAATCTACAACTATTCTGCAAAAAAAAAAAAATTATATTTGTAATAATACAAATTTGTGTAAAATATGTACATATTTTGTAATTAAAGCGATTGTCTATTTAACAAAGTGAACATAGTAGAAGTTATTTGTTATAGTTACCTAAAAAACATGGAATTAAAGTACTAACTGTATAAGGAAAGACTGCTATAGCAACAGCAGAATAAACGTTGTTATCAATATGTGAGTAGTGGTGTTTAACGAAACAGTTACTGTTAAAATCGAAACCGACGTCGTTGATATATATTCACTTAAGATAATAAAAAATTAAGGATTTTAACTCAATTGTTGATATTGTAGATTGAAACAAGACAAATAAAAGTTCAGCTGATACTGTTGCCTTGGTAAATGTAGTTGAAGATGACACATAACCTGCTGTTGTTTAATCACATATAATAATGATGTAGATACGGATGTAAAAAAAGTAGACTAAAATAAAATAATTCTCAAGACAACTACTGCTGTAGATACAAAAAAAAAAAAGTGTTATTGTTGTATTCAGCGATAATAAAATAAAGAATAAAATGTGATAGATAGAGCCTTATGCGCCAAGATCATGGAAAACACTGAGTTAAAATATCGTTTGTGGCAGATAAAACTAAAGTTGCTGTTGCCACTGCCAAAAAAAAATTTCTTATAAAAAGTTTTGAGCTGAACTTGTAACTGAAATGAAAGTAGTTGTAATGGTTATTAAATGGTTTGATTTAATAACATCAATTAATTAATATTAATTAGTTTATGTTATTTAAGCATCAGTTATTGTTGTTGTCTCGGCAAGTGTTGTTGTAGGTACAGTTGTTTAAGATTCAGATATTGTTGATGTCTCGGTTGTTTTTGTTGTAGATCCAATTGTCGAAGCATCAGTTGTTGTTGTTAAAGCTGCAGTTGTTGTTGCTGTCTCAGCTGTTGTTGTTCTAGAATCACTTGTTGAAGCTTCAGTTGTTGTTGCTGTCTCAGCTGTTGTTGTGGTAGATTCAGTTGTTGGAGCTTCAGTTGTTGTTGTTGAAGCTTCAGTTGTTGTTGATGTCTCGGATGTTGTTGTTGTATATTTAGTTGTTGCAGCATCAGTTGTTGTTGTTAGAACTTCAGTTGTTGTAGTTGTTTCAACTGTTGTTGATGTAGATGCAGTTGTTGGAGCTTCAGTTGTTGTTGTTAAAGCTTCAGTTGTAGTTGTTGTCTCAGCTGTTGTTGTTGTAGATTCAGTTGTTGGAGCTTCTGTTGTTGTTGTTGTCTCGGCTGTTGTTGTTGGAGCTTCAGTTGTTGTTGTTATAGCTTCAGTTGTTGTTGTTGTCTCAGCTGTTGTTGTTGTAGATTCAGTGGTTGGAGCTTCTGTTGTTGTTGTTGTCTCGGCTGTTGTTGTTGTAGATTCAGTTGTTGGAGCTTCTGTTGTTGTTGTTGTCTCGGCCGTTGTTGTTGTAGATTCAGTTGTTGATGTTAGGGCTTCAGTTGTTGTTGTTGTTGTCTCGGCTGTTGTTGTTGTAGATTCAGTTGTTGAAGCTTCAGTTGTTGTTGTTGTCTCGGCTGTTGTTGTTGTAGATTCAGTTGTTGGAGCTTCTGTTGTGGTTGTTGTCTCGGCCGTTGTTGTTGTAGATTCATATGTTGTTGTTGTTGTCTCGGCTGTTGTTGTTGTAGATTCAGTTGTTGGAGCTTCAGTTGTTGTTGTTATAGCTTCAGTTGTTGTTGTTGTCTCAGCTGTTATTGCTGTAGATTCAGTGGTTGGAACTTCTGTTGTTGTTGTTGTCTCGGCCGTTGTTGTTGTAGATTCAGTTGTTGATGTTGGGGCTTCAGTTTTTGTTGTTGTCTCGGCTGTTGTTGTTGTAGATTCAGTTGTTGAAGCTTCTGTTGTTGTTGTTGTCTCGGCTGTTGTTGTTGTAGATTTAGTTGTTGGACCTTCTGTTGTGGTTGTTGTCTCGGCCGTTGTTGTTGTAGATTCAGTTGTTGTTGTTGGGGTTTCAGTTGATGTTGTTGTCTCGGCTGTTGTTGTTATAGATTCAGTAGTTGGAGCTTCAGTTGTTGTTGTTATAGCTTCAGTTGTTGTTGTTGTCTCAGCTGTTGTTGTTGTAGATTCAGTGGTTGGAGCTTCTGTTGTTGTTGTTGTCTCGGCTGCTGTTGTTGTAGATTCAGTTGTTGGAGCTTCTTTTGTTGTTGTTGTCTCGGCCGTTGTTGTTGTAAATTCAGTTGTAGATGTTGGGGCTTCAGTTGTTGTTGTTGTCTCGGCTGTTGTTGTTGTAGATTCAGTTGTTGAAGCTTCAGTTGTTGTTGTTGCCTCGGCTGTTGTTGTTATAGATTCAGTTGTTGGAGCTTCTGTTGTTGTTGTTGTTTCGGCTGTTGTTGTTGTAGATTCAGTTGTTGGAGCTTCTGTTGTGGTTGCTGTCTCGGCCGTTGTTGTTGTAGATTCAGTTGTTGTTGTTGGGGTTTCAGTTGTTGCTGTTGTCTCGGCTGTTGTTGTTGTAGATTTAGTAGTCGGAGCTTCAGTTGTTGTTGTTATAGCTTCAGTTGTTGTTGTTGTCTCAGCTGTTGTTGTTGTAGATTCAGTGGTTGGAGCTTCTGTTGTTGTTGTTGTCTTGGCTGTTGTTGTTGTAGATTCAGTTGTTGGAGCTTCTGTTGTTGTTGTTGTCTCGGCCGTTGTTGTTGTAGATTCAGTTGTTGGAGCTTCTGTTGTGGTTGTTGTCTCGGCCGTTGTTGTTGTAGATTCAGTTGTTGTTGTTGTTGTCTCGGTTGTTGTTGTTGTAGATTCAGTTGTTGGAGCTTCAGTTGTTGTTGTTATAGCTTCAGTTGTTGTTGTTATTTTAGCTGTTGTTGTTGTAGATTCAGTGGTTGGAGCTTCTGTTGTTGTTGTTGTCTCGGCTGTTGTTGTTGTAGATTCAGTTGTTGGAGCTTCTGTTGTGGTTGTTTTCTCGGCCGTTGTTGTTGTAGATTCAGTTGTTGTTGTTAGGGTTTCAGTTGTTGTTGTTGTTTCGGCTGTTGTTGTTGTAGATTCAGTTGTTGGAGCTTCAGTTGTTGTTGTTATAGCTTCAGTTGTTGTTGTTGTCTCAGCTGTTGTTGTTGTAGAATCATTGGTTGGAACTTCTGTTGTTGTTGTTGTCTCGGCTGTTGTTGTTGTAGATTCAGTTGTTGGAGCTTCTGTTGTTGTTGTTGTCTCGGCCGTTGTTGTTGTAGATTCAGTTGTTGGAGCTTCTGTTGTGGTTGTTGTCTCGGCCGTTGTTGTTGTAGATTCAGTTGTTGTTGTTGTTGTCTCGGTTGTTGTTGTTGTAGATTCAGTTGTTGGAGCTTCAGTTGTTGTTGTTATAGCTTCAGTTGTTGTTGTTATTTTAGCTGTTGTTGTTGAAGATTCAGTGGTTGGAGCTTCTGTTGTTGTTGTTGTCTCGGCTGTTGTTGTTGTAGATTCAGTTGTTGGAGCTTCTGTTGTGGTTGTTGTCTCGGCCGTTGTTGTTGTAGATTCAGTTGTTGTTGTTAGGGTTTCAGTTGTTGTTGTTGTCTCGGCTGTTGTTGTTGTAGATTCAGTTGTTGGAGCTTCAGTTGTTGTTGTTATAGCTTCAGTTGTTGTTGTTGTCTCAGCTGTTGTTGTTGTAGAATCATTGGTTGGAACTTCTGTTGTTGTTGTTGTCTCGGCTGTTGTTGTTGTAGATTCAGTTGTTGGAGCTTTTGTTGTTGTTGTTGTCTCGGCTGTTGTTGTTGTAGATTCAGTTGATGGAGCTTCTGTTGTGGTAGTTGTCTCGGCCGTTGTTGATGTAGATTCAGTTATTGATGTTGGGGCTTCAGTTGTTGTTGTTGTCTCGGCTGTTGTTGTTGAAGCTTTAGTTGTTGTTGTTGTCTCGGCCGTTGTTGTTGTAGATTCAGTTATTGATGTTGGGGCTTCAGTTGTTGTTGTTGTCTCGGCTGTTGTTGTTGTAGATTCAGTTGATGGAGCTTCTGTTGTGGTAGTTGTCTCGGCCGTTGTTGTTGTAGATTCAGTTATTGATGTTGGGGCTTCAGTTGTTGTTGTTGTCTCGGCTGTTGTTGTTGTAGATTCAGTTGTTGAAGCTTCTGTTGTTGTTGTTGTCTCGGCTGTTGTTGTTGTAGATTCAGTTGTTGGAGCTTCTGTTGTGGTTGTTGTTTCGGCTGTTGTTGTTGTAGATTCAGTTGTTGTTGTTGGGGTTTCAGTTGTTGTTGTTGTCTCGGCTGTTGTTGTTGTAGATTCAGTAGTCGGAGCTTCAGTTGTTGTTGTTGTCTCAGTTGTTGTTGTTGTAGATTCAGTGGTTGGAGCTTCTGTTGTTGTTGTTGTCTCGGCTGTTGTTGTTGTAGATTCAGTTGTTGGAGCTTCTGTTGTTGTTGTTGTCTCGGCCGTTGTTGTTGTAGATTCAGTTGTTGATGTTGGGGCTTCAGTTGTTGTTGCTGTTGTCTCGGCTGTTGTTGTTGTAGATTCAGTTGTTGAAGCTTCAGTTGTTGTTGTTGTCTCGGCTGTTGTTGTTGTAGATTCAGTTGTTGGAGCTTCTGTTGTGGTTGTTGTCTCGGCCGTTGTTGTTGTAGATTCAGTTGTTGTTGTTGTTGTCTCGGCTGTTGTTGTTGTAGATTCAGTTGTTGGAGCTTCAGTTGTTGTTGTTATAGCTTCAGTTGTTGTTGTTGTCTCAGCTGTTGTTGTTGTAGATTCGGTGGTTGGAGCTTCTGTTGTTGTTGTTGTCTCGGCTGTTGTTGTTGTAGATTCAAATGTTGGAGCTTCTGTTGTGGTTGTTGTCTCGGCCGTTGTTGTTGTAGATTCAGTTGTTGTTGTTGGGGTTTCAGTTGTTGTTGTTGTCTCGGCTGTTGTTGTTGTAGATTCAGTTGTTGGAGCTTCAGTTGTTAATGTTATAGCTTCAGTTGTTGTTGTTGTCTCAGCTGTTGTTGCTGTAGATTCAGTGGTTGGAACTTCTGTTGTTGTTGTTGTCTCGGCTGTTGTTGTTGTAGATTCAGTTGATAGAGCTTCTGTTGTGGTTGTTGTCTCGGCCGTTGTTGTTGTAGATTCAGTTGTTGATGTTGGGGCTTCAGTTGTTGTTGTTGTCTCGGCTGTTGTTGTTGTAGATTCAGTTGTTGAAGCTTCAGTTGTTTTTGTTGTCTCGGCTGTTGTTGTTGTAGATTCAGTTGTTGGAGCTTCTGTTGTTGTTGTTGTCTCGGCTGTTGTTGTTGTAGATTCAGTTGTTGGATCTTCTGTTGTGGTTGTTGTCTCGGCCGTTGTTGTTGTAGATTCAGTTGTTGTTGTTGGGGTTTCAGTTGTTGTTGTTGTCTCGGCTGTTGTTGTTGTAGATTCAGTAGTCGGAGCTTCAGTTGTTGTTGTTATAGCTTCAGTTGTTGTTGTTGTCTCAGCTGTTGTTGTTGTAGATTCAGTGGTTGGAGCTTCTGTTGTTGTTGTTGTCTCGGCTGTTGTTGTTGTAGATTCAGTTGTTGGAGCTTCTGTTGTTGTTGTTGTCTCGGCCGTTGTTGTTTTAGATTCAGTTGTTGATGTTGGGGCTTCAGTTGTTGTTGTTGTTGTCTCGGCTGTTGTTGTTGTAGATTCAGTTGTTGGAGCTTCAGTTGTTGTTGTTATAGCTTCAGTTGTTGTTGTTGTCTCAGCTGTTGTTGTTCTAGATTCAGTGGTTGGAACTTCTGTTGTTGTTGTTGTCTCGGCTGTTGTTGTTGTAGATTCAGTTGTTGGAGCTTCTGTTGTTGTTGTTATAGCTTCAGTTGTTGTTGTCTCGGCTGTTGTTGTTGTAGATTCAGTGGTTGGACCTTCTGTTGTTGTTGTTGTCTCGGCTGTTGTTGTTGTAGATTCAGTTGATGGAGCTTCTGTTGTGGTTGTTGTCTCGGCCGTTGTTGTTGGAGCTTCAGTTGTTGTTGTTGGGGTTTCATTTGTTGTTGTTGTTGTCTCGGCTGTTGTTGTTGTAGATTTAGTTGTTGGAGCTTCAGTTGTTGTTGTTATAGCTTCAGTTGTTGTTGTTGTCTCGGCTGTTGTTGTTGTAGATTCAGTGGTTGGACCTTCTGTTGTTGTTGTTGTCTCGGCTGTTGTTGTTGTAGATTCAGTTGATGGAGCTTCTGTTGTGGTTGTTGTCTCGGCCGTTGTTGTTGGAGCTTCAGTTGTTGTTGTTATAGCTTCAGTTGTTGTTGTTGTCTCGGCTGTTGTTGTTGTAGATTCAGTTGTTGGCGCTTCTGTTGTTGTTGTTGTCTCGGCTGTTGTTGTTGTAGATTCAGTTGTTGTAGCTTCTGTTGTTGTTGTTGTCTCGGTCGTTGTTGTTGTAGATTCAGTTGTTGATGTTGGGGCTTCAGTTGTTGTTGTTGTCTCGGCTGTTGTTGTTGTAGATTCAGTTGTTGAAGCTTCAGTTGTTGTTGTTGTCTCGGCCGTTGTTGTTGTAGATTTAGTTATTGATGTTGGGGCTTCAGTTGTTGTTGTTGTCTCGGCTGTTGTTGTTGTAGATTCAGTTGATGGAGCTTCTGTTGTGGTAGTTGTCTCGGCCGTTGTTGTTGTAGATTCAGTTATTGATGTTGGGGCTTCAGTTGTTGTTGTTGTCTCGGCTGTTGTTGTTGTAGATTCAGTTGTTGAAGCTTCAGTTGTTGTTGTTGTCTCGGCTGTTGTTGTTGTAGATTCAGTTGTTGAAGCTTCAGTTGTTGTTGTTGTCTCGGCTGTTGTTGTTGTAGATTCAGTTGTTGGAGCTTCTGTTGTGGTTGTTGTCTCGGCCATTGTTGTTGTAGATTCAGTTGTTGTTGTTGGGGTTTCATTTGTTGTTGTTGTTGTCTCGGCTGTTGTTGTTGTAGATGTAGTTGTTGGAGCTTCAGTTGTTGTTGTTATAGCTTCAGTTGTTGTTGTTGTCTCGGCTGTTGTTGTTGTAGATTCAGTGGTTGGACCTTCTGTTGTTGTTGTTGTCTCTGCTGTTGTTGTTGTAGATTCAGTTGATGGAGCTTCTGTTGTGGTTGTTGTCTCGGCCGTTGTTGTTGGAGCTTCAGTTGTTGTTGTTATAGCTTCAGTTGTTGTTGTTGTCTCGGCTGTTGTTGTTGTAGATTCAGTTGTTGGAGCTTCTGTTGTTGTTGTTGTCTCGGCTGTTGTTGTTGTAGATTCAGTTGTTGGAGCTTCTGTTGTTGTTGTTGTCTCGGTCGTTGTTGTTGTAGATTCAGTTGTTGATGTTGGGGCTTCAGTTGTTGTTGTTGTCTCGGCTGTTGTTGTTGTAGATTCAGTTGTTGAAGCTTCAGTTGTTGTTGTTGTCTCGGCCGTTGTTGTTGTAGATTCAGTTATTGATGTTGGGGCTTCAGTTGTTGTTGTTGTCTCGGCTGTTGTTGTTGTAGATTCAGTTGATGGAGCTTCTGTTGTGGTAGTTGTCTCGGCCGTTGTTGTTGTAGATTCAGTTATTGATGTTGGGGCTTCAGTTGTTGTTGTTGTCTCGGCTGTTGTTGTTGTAGATTCAGATGTTGGAGCTTCTGTTGTGGTTGTTGTCTCGGCTGTTGTTGTTGTAGATTCAGTTGTTGGAGCTTCAGTTGTTGTTGTTATAGCTTCAGTTGTTGTTGTTGTCTCAGCTGTTGTTGTTGTAGATTCAGTGGTTGGAGCTTCTGTTGTTGTTGTTGTCTCGGCTGTTGTTGTTGCAGATTCAGTTGTTGGAGCTTCTGTTGTGGTTGTTGTCTCGGCCGTTGTTGTTGTAGATTCAGTTATTGTTGTTGTCTCGGCTGTTGTTGTTGTAGATTCAGTTGTTGGAGCTTCAGTTGTTGTTGTTATAGCTTCAGTTGTTGTTGTTGTTGTCTCAGCTGTTGTTGTTGTAGATTCAGTGGTTGGAACTTCTGTTGTTGTTGTTGTCTCGGCTGTTGTTGTTGTAGATTCAGTTGATGGAGCTTCTGTTGTGGTTGTTGTCTCGGCCGTTGTTGTTGTAGATTCAGTTGTTGGAGCTTCTGTTGTTGTTGTTGTCTCGGCTGTTGTTGTTGTAGATTCATTTGATGGAGCTTCTGTTGTGGTTGTTGTCTCGGCCGTTGTTGTTGTAGATTCAGTTGTTGGAGCTTCTGTTGTTGTTGTTGTCTCGGCTGTTGTTGTTGTAGATTCAGTTGATGGAGCTTCTGTTGTGGTAGTTGTCTCGGCCGTTGTTGTTGTAGATTCAGTTGTTGAAGCTTCAGTTGTTGTTGTTGTCTCGGCTGTTGTTGTTGTAGATTCAGTTGTTGGAGCTTCTGTTGTGGTTGTTGTCTCGGCCGTTGTTGTTGTAGATTCAGTTGTTGTTGTTGGGGTTTCAGTTGTTGTTGTTGTCTCGGCTGTTGTTGTTGTAGATTCAGTTGTTGTAGATTCAGTTGTTGATGTTAAGGCTTCAGTTGTTGTTGTTGTCTCGGCTGTTGTTGTTGCAGATTCAGTGGTTGGAGCTTCTGTTGTGGTTGTTGTCTCGGCTGTTGTTGTTGTAGATTCAGTTGTTGGAGCTTCAGTTGTTGTTGTTATAGCTTCAGTTGTTGTTGTTGTCTCAGCTGTTGTTGTTGTAGATTCAGTGGTTGGAGCTTCTGTTGTTGTTGTTGTCTCGGCTGTTGTTGTTGTAGATTCAGTTGTTGGAGCTTCTGTTGTGGTTGTTGTCTCGGCCGTTGTTGTTGTAGATTCAGTTGTTGTTGTTGGGGTTTCAGTTGTTGTTGTTGTCTCGGCTGTTGTTGTTGTAGATTCAGTTGTTGGAGTTTCAGTTGTTGTTGTTATAGCTTCAGTTGTTGTTGTTGTTGTCTCAGCTGTTGTTGTTGTAGATTCAGTGGTTGGAACTTCTGTTGTTGTTGTTGTCTCGGCTGTTGTTGTTGTAGATTCAGTTGATGGAGCTTCTGTTGTGGTTGTTGTCTCGGCCGTTGTTGTTGTAGATTCAGTTGTTGGAGCTTCTGTTGTTGTTGTTGTCTCGGCTGTTGTTGTTGTAGATTCAGTTGATGGAGCTTCTGTTGTGGTTGTTGTCTCGGCCGTTGTTGTTGTAGATTCAACTGTTGTTGTTATAGCTTCAGTTGTTGTTGTTGTCTCGGCTGTTGTTGATGTAGATTCAGTTGTTGGAGCTTCAGTTGTTGTTGTTATAGCTTCAGTTGTTGCTGTTGTCTCAGCTGTTGTTGTTGTAGATTCAGTGGTTGGAGCTTCTGTTGTTGTTGTTGTCTCGGCTGTTGTTGTTGTAGATTCAGTTGTTGGAGCTTCTGTTGTGGTTGTTGTCTCGACCGTTGTTGTTGTAGATTCAGTTGTTGTTGTTGGGGTTTCAGTTGTTGTTGTTGTCTCGGCTGTTGTTGTTGTAGATTCAGTTGTTGGAGCTTCAGTTGTTATTGTTATAGCTTCAGTTGTTGTTGTTGTTGTCTCAGCTGTTGTTGTTGTAGATTCAGTGGTTGGAACTTCTGTTGTTGTTGTTGTCTCGGCTGTTGTTGTTGTAGACTCAGTTGTTGGAGCTTCTGTTGTTGTTGTTGTCTCGGCTGTTGTTGTTGTAGATTCAGTTGATGGAGCTTCTGTTGTGGTAGTTGTCTCGGCCGTTGTTGTTGTAGAATCAGTTATTGATGTTGGGGCTTCAGTTGTTGTTGTTGTCTCGGCTGTTGTTGTTGTAGATTCAGTTGTTGAAGCTTCAGTTGTTGTTGTTGTCTCGGCCGTTGTTGTTGTAGATTCAGTTATTGATGTTGGGGCTTCAGTTGTTGTTGTTGTCTCGGCTGTTGTTGTTGTAGATTCAGTTGATGGAGCTTCTGTTGTGGTAGTTGTCTCGGCCGTTGTTGTTGTAGATTCAGTTATTGATGTTGGGGCTTCAGTTGTTGTTGTTGTCTCGGCTGTTGTTGTTGTAGATTCAGTTGTTGAAGCTTCAGTTGTTGTTGTTGTCTCGGCTGTTGTTGTTGTAGATTCAGTTGTTGAAGCTTCAGTTGTTGTTGTTGTCTCGGCTGTTGTTGTTGTAGATTCAGTTGTTGGAGCTTCTGTTGTGGTTGTTGTCTCGGCCATTGTTGTTGTAGATTCAGTTGTTGTTGTTGGGGTTTCATTTGTTGTTGTTGTTGTCTCGGCTGTTGTTGTTGTAGATGTAGTTGTTGGAGCTTCAGTTGTTGTTGTTATAGCTTCAGTTGTTGTTGTTGTCTCGGCTGTTGTTGTTGTAGATTCAGTGGTTGGACCTTCTGTTGTTGTTGTTGTCTCTGCTGTTGTTGTTGTAGATTCAGTTGATGGAGCTTCTGTTGTGGTTGTTGTCTCGGCCGTTGTTGTTGGAGCTTCAGTTGTTGTTGTTATAGCTTCAGTTGTTGTTGTTGTCTCGGCTGTTGTTGTTGTAGATTCAGTTGTTGGAGCTTCTGTTGTTGTTGTTGTCTCGGCTGTTGTTGTTGTAGATTCAGTTGTTGGAGCTTCTGTTGTTGTTGTTGTCTCGGTCGTTGTTGTTGTAGATTCAGTTGTTGATGTTGGGGCTTCAGTTGTTGTTGTTGTCTCGGCTGTTGTTGTTGTAGATTCAGTTGTTGAAGCTTCAGTTGTTGTTGTTGTCTCGGCCGTTGTTGTTGTAGATTCAGTTATTGATGTTGGGGCTTCAGTTGTTGTTGTTGTCTCGGCTGTTGTTGTTGTAGATTCAGTTGATGGAGCTTCTGTTGTGGTAGTTGTCTCGGCCGTTGTTGTTGTAGATTCAGTTATTGATGTTGGGGCTTCAGTTGTTGTTGTTGTCTCGGCTGTTGTTGTTGTAGATTCAGATGTTGGAGCTTCTGTTGTGGTTGTTGTCTCGGCTGTTGTTGTTGTAGATTCAGTTGTTGGAGCTTCAGTTGTTGTTGTTATAGCTTCAGTTGTTGTTGTTGTCTCAGCTGTTGTTGTTGTAGATTCAGTGGTTGGAGCTTCTGTTGTTGTTGTTGTCTCGGCTGTTGTTGTTGCAGATTCAGTTGTTGGAGCTTCTGTTGTGGTTGTTGTCTCGGCCGTTGTTGTTGTAGATTCAGTTATTGTTGTTGTCTCGGCTGTTGTTGTTGTAGATTCAGTTGTTGGAGCTTCAGTTGTTGTTGTTATAGCTTCAGTTGTTGTTGTTGTTGTCTCAGCTGTTGTTGTTGTAGATTCAGTGGTTGGAACTTCTGTTGTTGTTGTTGTCTCGGCTGTTGTTGTTGTAGATTCAGTTGATGGAGCTTCTGTTGTGGTTGTTGTCTCGGCCGTTGTTGTTGTAGATTCAGTTGTTGGAGCTTCTGTTGTTGTTGTTGTCTCGGCTGTTGTTGTTGTAGATTCATTTGATGGAGCTTCTGTTGTGGTTGTTGTCTCAACCGTTGTTGTTGTAGATTCAGTTGTTGGAGCTTCTGTTGTTGTTGTTGTCTCGGCTGTTGTTGTTGTAGATTCAGTTGATGGAGCTTCTGTTGTGGTAGTTGTCTCGGCCGTTGTTGTTGTAGATTCAGTTGTTGAAGCTTCAGTTGTTGTTGTTGTCTCGGCTGTTGTTGTTGTAGATTCAGTTGTTGGAGCTTCTGTTGTGGTTGTTGTCTCGGCCGTTGTTGTTGTAGATTCAGTTGTTGTTGTTGGGGTTTCAGTTGTTGTTGTTGTCTCGGCTGTTGTTGTTGTAGATTCAGTTGTTGTAGATTCAGTTGTTGATGTTAAGGCTTCAGTTGTTGTTGTTGTCTCGGCTGTTGTTGTTGTAGAATCAGTGGTTGGAGCTTCTGTTGTGGTTGTTGTCTCGGCTGTTGTTGTTGTAGATTCAGTTGTTGGAGCTTCAGTTGTTGTTGTTATAGCTTCAGTTGTTGTTGTTGTCTCAGCTGTTGTTGTTGTAGATTCAGTGGTTGGAGCTTCTGTTGTTGTTGTTGTCTCGGCTGTTGTTGTTGTAGATTCAGTTGTTGGAGCTTCTGTTGTGGTTGTTGTCTCGGCCGTTGTTGTTGTAGATTCAGTTGTTGTTGTTGGGGTTTCAGTTGTTGTTGCTGTCTCGGCTGTTGTTGTTGTAGATTCAGTTGTTGGAGTTTCAGTTGTTGTTGTTATAGCTTCAGTTGTTGTTGTTGTTGTCTCAGCTGTTGTTGTTGTAGATTCAGTGGTTGGAACTTCTGTTGTTGTTGTTGTCTCGGCTGTTGTTGTTGTAGATTCAGTTGATGGAGCTTCTGTTGTGGTTGTTGTCTCGGCCGTTGTTGTTGTAGATTCAGTTGTTGGAGCTTCTGTTGTTGTTGTTGTCTCGGCTGTTGTTGTTGTAGATTCAGTTGATGGAGCTTCTGTTGTGGTTGTTGTCTCGGCCGTTGTTGTTGTAGATTCAACTGTTGTTGTTATAGCTTCAGTTGTTGTTGTTGTCTCGGCTGTTGTTGATGTAGATTCAGTTGTTGGAGCTTTAGTTGTTGTTGTTATAGCTTCAGTTGTTGTCTCAGCTGTTGTTGTTATAGATTTAGTGGTTGGAACTTCTGTTGTTGTTGTTGTCTCGGCTGTTGTTGTTGTAGATTCAGTTGATGGAGCTTCTGTTGTGGTTGTTGTCTCGGCCGTTGTTGTTGGAGCTTCAGTTGTTGTTGTTATAGCTTCAGTTGTTGTTGTTGTCTCGGCTGTTGTTGTTGTAGATTCAGTTGTTGGAGCTTCTGTTGTTGTTGTTGTCTCGGCTGTTGTTGTTGTAGATTCAGTTGTTGGAGCTTCTGTTGTTGTTGTTGTCTCGGTCGTTGTTGTTGTAGATTCAGTTGTTGATGTTGGGGCTTCAGTTGTTGTTGTTGTCTCGGCTGTTGTTGTTGTAGATTCAGTTGTTGAAGCTTCAGTTGTTGTTGTTGTCTCGGCCGTTGTTGTTGTAGATTCAGTTATTGATGTTGGGGCTTCAGTTGTTGTTGTTGTCTCGGCTGTTGTTGTTGTAGATTCAGTTGATGGAGCTTCTGTTGTGGTAGTTGTCTCGGCCGTTGTTGTTGTAGATTCAGTTATTGATGTTGGGGCTTCAGTTGTTGTTGTTGTCTCGGCTGTTGTTGTTGTAGATTCAGATGTTGGAGCTTCTGTTGTGGTTGTTGTCTCGGCTGTTGTTGTTGTAGATTCAGTTGTTGGAGCTTCAGTTGTTGTTGTTATAGCTTCAGTTGTTGTTGTTGTCTCAGCTGTTGTTGTTGTAGATTCAGTGGTTGGAGCTTCTGTTGTTGTTGTTGTCTCGGCTGTTGTTGTTGCAGATTCAGTTGTTGGAGCTTCTGTTGTGGTTGTTGTCTCGGCCGTTGTTGTTGTAGATTCAGTTATTGTTGTTGTCTCGGCTGTTGTTGTTGTAGATTCAGTTGCTGGAGCTTCAGTTGTTGTTGTTATAGCTTCAGTTGTTGTTGTTGTTGTCTCAGCTGTTGTTGTTGTAGAATCAGTGGTTGGAACTTCTGTTGTTGTTGTCGTCTCGGCTGTTGTTGTTGTAGATTCAGTTGATGGAGCTTCTGTTGTGGTTGTTGTTTCGGCCGTTGTTGTTGTAGATTCAGTTGTTGGAGCTTCTGTTGTTGTTGTTGTCTCGGCTGTTGTTGTTGTAGATTCATTTGATGGAGCTTCTGTTGTGGTTGTTGTCTCGGCCGTTGTTGTTGTAGATTCAGTTGTTGGAGCTTCTGTTGTTGTTGTTGTCTCGGCTGTTGTTGTTGTAGATTCAGTTGATGGAGCTTCTGTTGTGGTAGTTGTCTCGGCCGTTGTTGTTGTAGATTCAGTTGTTGAAGCTTCAGTTGTTGTTGTTGTCTCGGCTGTTGTTGTTGTAGATTCAGTTGTTGGAGCTTCTGTTGTGGTTGTTGTCTCGGCCGTTGTTGTTGTAGATTCAGTTGTTGTTGTTGGGGTTTCAGTTGTTGTTGTTGTCTCGGCTGTTGTTGTTGTAGATTCAGTTGTTGTAGATTCAGTTGTTGATGTTAAGGCTTCAGTTGTTGTTGTTGTCTCGGCTGTTGTTGTTGTAGAATCAGTGGTTGGAGCTTCTGTTGTGGTTGTTGTCTCGGCTGTTGTTGTTGTAGATTCAGTTGTTGGAGCTTCAGTTGTTGTTGTTATAGCTTCAGTTGTTGTTGTTGTCTCAGCTGTTGTTGTTGTAGATTCAGTGGTTGGAGCTTCTGTTGTTGTTGTTGTCTCGGCTGTTGTTGTTGTAGATTCAGTTGTTGGAGCTTCTGTTGTGGTTGTTGTCTCGGCCGTTGTTGTTGTAGATTCAGTTGTTGTTGTTGGGGTTTCAGTTGTTGTTGTTGTCTCGGCTGTTGTTGTTGTAGATTCAGTTGTTGGAGTTTCAGTTGTTGTTGTTATAGCTTCAGTTGTTGTTGTTGTTGTCTCAGCTGTTGTTGTTGTAGATTCAGTGGTTGGAACTTCTGTTGTTGTTGTTGTCTCGGCTGTTGTTGTTGTAGATTCAGTTGATGGAGCTTCTGTTGTGGTTGTTGTCTCGGCCGTTGTTGTTGTAGATTCAGTTGTTGGAGCTTCTGTTGTTGTTGTTGTCTCGGCTGTTGTTGTTGTAGATTCAGTTGATGGAGCTTCTGTTGTGGTTGTTGTCTCGGCCGTTGTTGTTGTAGATTCAACTGTTGTTGTTATAGCTTCAGTTGTTGTTGTTGTCTCGGCTGTTGTTGATGTAGATTCAGTTGTTGGAGCTTTAGTTGTTGTTGTTATAGCTTCAGTTGTTGTCTCAGCTGTTGTTGTTATAGATTTAGTGGTTGGAACTTCTGTTGTTGTTGTTGTCTCGGCTGTTGTTGTTGTAGATTCAGTTGGTGGAGCTTCCGTTGTTGTTGTTGTCTCGGCTGTTGTTGTTGTAGATTCAGTTGATGGAGCTTCTGTTGTGGTTGTTGTCTCGGCCGTTGTTGTTGTAGATTCAGTTGTTGATGTTGGGGCTTCAGTTGTTGTTGTTGTCTCGGCTGTTGTTGTTGTAGATTCAGTTGTTGAAGCTTCAGTTGTTGTTGTTGTCTCGGATGTTGTTGTTGTAGAATTAGTTGTTGGAGCCTCTGTTGTGGTTGTTGTCTCAGCCGTCGTTGTTGTAGATTCAGTTGTTGTTGTTAGGGCTTCAGTTGTTGTTGTTGTCTCGGCTGTTGTTGTTGTAGATTCAGTTGTTGAAGCTTCAGTTGTTGTTGTCATAGCGTCAGTTTTTGTTGATGTCTCGGCTGTTGTTGTTGTAGATTCAGTTGTTGGAGCTTCTGTTGTGGTTGTTGTCTCGGCCGTTGTTGTTGTAGATTCAGTTGATGTTGTTGGGGTTTCAGTTGTTGTTGTTGTCTCGGCTGTTGTTGTTGTAGATTCAGTTGTTGTAGATTCAGTTGTTGATGTTAAGGCTTCAGTTGTTGTTGTTGTCTCGGCTGTTGTTGTTGTAGATTCAGTGGTTGGAGCTTCTGTTGTGGTTGTTGTCTCGGCTGTTGTTGTTGTAGATTCAGTTGTTGGAGCTTCAGTTGTTGTTGTTATAGCTTCAGTTGTTGTTGTTGTCTCAGCTGTTGTTGTTGTAGATTCAGTGGTTGGAGCTTCTGTTGTTGTTGTTGTCTCGGCTGTTGTTGTTGTAGATTCAGTTGTTGGAGATTCTGTTGTGGTTGTTGTCTCGGCCGTTGTTGTTGTAGATTCAGTTGTTGTTGTTGGGGTTTCAGTTGTTGTTGTTGTCTCGGCTGTTGTTGTTGTAGATTCAGTTGTTGGAGATTCTGTTGTGGTTGTTGTCTCGGCCGTTGTTGTTGTAGATTCAGTTGTTGTTGTTGGGGTTTCAGTTGTTGTTGTTGTCTCGGCTGTTGTTGTTGTAGATTCAGTTGTTGGAGCTTCAGTTGTTGTTGTTATAGCTTCAGTTGTTGTTGTTGTTGTCTCAGCTGTTGTTGTTGTAGATTCAGTGGTTGGAACTTCTGTTGTTGTTGTTGTCTCGGCTGTTGTTGTTGTAGATTCAGTTGTTGGAGCTTCTGTTGTTGTTGTTGTCTCGGCTGTTGTTGTTGTAGATTCAGTTGATGGAGCTTCTGTTGTGGTTGTTGTCTCGGCCGTTGTTGTTGTAGATTCAGTTGTTGGAGCTTCTGTTGTTGTTGTTGTCTCGGCTGTTGTTGTTGTAGATTCAGTTGATGGAGCTTCTGTTGTGGTTGTTGTCTCGGCCGTTGTTGTTGTAGATTCAACTGTTGTTGTTATAGCTTCAGTTGTTGTTGTTGTCTCGGCTGTTGTTGATGTAGATTCAGTTGTTGGAGCTTTAGTTGTTGTTGTTATAGCTTCAGTTGTTGTCTCAGCTGTTGTTGTTATAGATTTAGTGGTTGGAACTTCTGTTGTTGTTGTTGTCTCGGCTGTTGTTGTTGTAGATTCAGTTGGTGGAGCTTCCGTTGTTGTTGTTGTCTCGGCTGTTGTTGTTGTAGATTCAGTTGATGGAGCTTCTGTTGTGGTTGTTGTCTCGGCCGTTGTTGTTGTAGATTCAGTTGTTGATGTTGGGGCTTCAGTTGTTGTTGTTGTCTCGGCTGTTGTTGTTGTAGATTCAGTTGTTGAAGCTTCAGTTGTTGTTGTTGTCTCGGATGTTGTTGTTGTAGAATTAGTTGTTGGAGCCTCTGTTGTGGTTGTTGTCTCAGCCGTCGTTGTTGTAGATTCAGTTGTTGTTGTTAGGGCTTCAGTTGTTGTTGTTGTCTCGGCTGTTGTTGTTGTAGATTCAGTTGTTGAAGCTTCAGTTGTTGTTGTCATAGCGTCAGTTTTTGTTGATGTCTCGGCTGTTGTTGTTGTAGATTCAGTTGTTGGAGCTTCTGTTGTTGTTGTTGTCTCGGCTGTTGTTGTTGTAGATTTAGTTGTAGGAGCTTCTGTTGTGGTTATTGTCTCGGCCGTTGTTGTTGTAGATTCAGTTGTTGTTGTTATAGCTTCAGTTGTTGTTGTTGTCTCAGCTGTTGTTGTTGTAGATTCAGTTGTTGGAGCTTCTGTTGTTGTTGTTGTCTCGGCTGTTGTTGTTGTAGATTCAGTTGATGAAGCTTCTGTTGTGGTTGTTGTCTCGGCCATTGTCGTTGTAGATTCAGTTGTTGTTGTTGGGGTTTCAGTTGTTGTTGTTGTCTCGGCTGTTGTTGTTGTAGATTCAGTAGTTGGAGCTTCAGTTGTTGTTGTTATAGCTTTAGTTGTTGTTGTTGTCTCAGCTGTTGTTGTTGTAGATTCAGTGGTTGGAGCTTCTGTTGTTATTGTTGTCTCGGCTGTTGTTGTTGTAGATTCAGTTGTTGGAGCTTCTGTTGTTGTTGTTGTCTCGGCCGTTGTTGTTGTAGATTCAGTTGTTGATGTTGGGGCTTCAGTTGTTGACTTTGTCTCGGCTGTTGTTGTTGTAGATTCAGTTGTTGAAGCTTCAGTTGTTGTTGTTGTCTCGGCTGTTGTTGTTATAGATTCAGTTGTTGGAGCTTCTGTTGTGGTTGTTGTCTCGGCCGTTGTTGTTGTAGATTCAGTTGTTGTTGTTGGGGTTTCAGTTGTTGATGTTGTTGTCTCGGCTGTTGTTGTTGTAGATTCAGTTGTTGGAGCTTCAGTTGTTGTTGTTATAGCTTCAGTTGTTGCTGTTGTCTTAGCTGTTGTTGTTGTAGATTCAGTGGTTGGAGCTTCTGTTGTTGTTGTTGTCTCGGCTGTTGTTGTTGGAGCTTCAGTTGTTGTTGTTATAGCTTCAGTTGTTGTTGTTGTCTTGGCTGTTGTTGTTGTAGATTCAGTGGATGGACCTTCTGTTGTTGTTGTTGTCTCGGCTGTTGTTGTTGTAGATTCAGTTGTTGGATTTTCTGTTGTGGTTGTTGTCTCGGCTGTTGTTGTTGTAGATTCAGTTGTTGAAGCTTCAGTTGTTGTTGTTGTCTCGGCTGTTGTTGTTGTAGATTCAGTTGTTGGAGCTTCTGTTGTGGTTGTTGTCTCGGCCGTTGTTGTTGTAGATTCAGTTGTTGTTGTTGGGGTTTCAGTTGTTGTTGTTGTCTTGGCTGTTGTTGTTGTAGATTCAGTTGTTGGAGCTTCAGTTGTTGTTGTTATTGCTTCAGTTGTTGTTGTTGTCTCAGCTGTTGTTGTTGTAGATTCAGTGGTTGGAGCTTCTGTTGTTGTTGTTGTCTCGGCTGTTGTTGTTGGAGCTTCAGTTGTTGTTGTTATAGCTTTAGTTGTTGTTGTTGTCTCGGCTGTTGTTGTTGTAGATTCAGTGGTCGGAGCTTCAGTTGTTGTTGTAGTCTCGGCTGTTGTTGTTGTAGATTTAGTTGTTGGAGCATCAGTTGTTGTTGTTGGAGCTTCAGTTGTTGTTGTTGTCTCGGCTGTTGTTGTTGTTGAATCAGTTGATGGAGCTTCTGTTGTGGTTGTTGTCTCGGCTGTTGTTGTAGATTTAGTTGTTTGAGCTTCAGTTGTTGTTGTTAAAGCTTCAGTTGTTGTTGTTGTCTCGGCTGTTGTTGTTGTAGATTCAGTTGTTGGAGCTTCTGTTGTTGTTGTTGTCTCAGCTGTTGTTGTTGTAGTTTCAGTTGTTGGAACATCAGTTGTTGTTAAAGCTTCAGTTGTTGTTGTTGTCTCGGCTTTTGTTGTTGCAGATTTAGTTGTTGGAGCTTCTGTTGTGGTTGTTGTCTTGGCTGTTGTTGTTGTTGTTGATTCAGTTGTTGGAGCTTCAGTTGTTGTTGTTGGAGCTTTAGTTATTGTTGTTGTTTCGGCTATTGTTGTTGCAGATTTAGTTGTTGAAGCTTCTGTTGTTGTTGTTGTCTCAATTTTTGTTGTTGTAGTTAAACATGATTGAGATACGAGTGAACAAAAATTTGCTTTGTAGTGCTTAATACAAAATTCTTGTAAGCAGGAACAGGAATAGTTTTCTAAAAGTCATATTATATATATATATATATATATATATATATATATATATATATATATATATATATATATATATATATATATATATGTATATATATATATATATATATATATATATATATATATATATATATATATATATATGTATATATATATATATATATATATATATATATATAGTATATATATATATATATATATATATATATATATATATTATATATATATATATATATATATATATATATATATATATATATATATATATATATATGTATATATATATATATATATATATATATATGTATATATATATATATATATATATATATATATATATATATATATATATATATATATATATATATATATATATATATATATATAAATATATATATAATATATAAATTGTAAAGTATAGTATTTATAAATATATTTATAATATATACTTATATATATAAATATATACTTTAAAAATATTTACTTTGTTTATACTTCTTAAGTTAAAACTCATAAGCTTGAATATACAATATTTTATTTGCTGTTATATTGCAATTTATATAATTGCAAAGAAAGTATCTATACTTGATGCAAAAAAATCTGCTATTATAATTGCATTATTAAAGTACATAATTATACAGAATTTAATTTAAAAAAGAGAAAAATGTTGCAGGATATCAAAAAATGATTATTGCAGATGTTAATTTTAAAATATATTATATTATATTTTGGTTCAAACTTTATTTTAATATATACATAACTATAGTCTTGATTTTAAGAGGAGTCTTTATTCAAGAGGAGAATACTAAATAACTAGTAATATCTAATATAGGAAGATACTAAATAACAAGTAGCATCTTGGAGGCTTTTATTTCTTTTGTAATAAAAGTTTGGGAGCTTATATTCCTTTTCTTCAATATTAAGTGAAGCCTCATTCTACGCTGCGTTTTTTTACTATTTTTAGCAGCTGCTTTATTAAACAGTAATTATTTTTTTGATCTTTATTACAAGAACATCTCTCTTATAAACAAATGTATTTTTATTATTCCAAAAAGCCAATGCAAAATGGTTCTGTCTGATGTTATTTTCAGTTTACTAAATCTTGTTTCTTATCTAAGATGTTAGAATCTAGAGACTTTTAGTTAGTGTAATTAGGTATTACTTTACCTAATGACACTAACTAAAAGTCTCTAGATACATTTAATTTCTAATTCATTCCAACATTTAATTTCTAATTCATGGGTCTGACTTTTAACATCTCCCCAGTATAAGGCAGAGCATTTTTGTAAAATTTTTTTTACTCTAATTCAACTCTTGAATCTAATGGCCACACTCTTCCTGCCAGTTAAACAGATTAACCCATTTTAATCATTAAAATTACTATGGCATCTAATGCTAAAGTTAATTTTTAATAGAACACTTCTACAGTTTGTGTTCCAGACAAGATTTCAATAATAGTTTTAAAAAAGTGTTCTCCAGAATTCTTTTTAATTTTTGCTAAACTTTTCAATTTTCTTTTCAAGTTTTGCTAAACTTTTCAATTTTTGTTAAACTTTTCAATTTTCTTTCCATTTTTTGCTAAAAAAGCGCTAAATAAATGGTTCCATTTTTTAAAACTCTAGAAAGCACTTTGACCTCTCCAACTATCCTATGATTATTTTCACTCTGTTATTAGTTTCTTTATATTATTAGTTTCTTTATATTAAGTTTTTGAGATTATTAAATTATTTCTTTCTGACTGCAGAATTAAAGTTATTCTTGAAGGCCTACACTCCAATTTATTTATATATTAACAGTCTTGGCTGTTAATATATAAAATAAAAGGCTTGCAGTGGCTTGTGGATTTAAATTTTTTATGGCAACAAAACTTATTTACTGCACAAAAATATTGCGATATTGTTACCATTCCTATATTGATAAATAACAACCCTTTTACTCTCAGATAAAGTCTAAAAGCAAATTGCAAACATAGTTAGACCTGCTTTATCTACCAAGCTTGAACCACTCTCCCATTGTTGAAAAGTTGCATTTCTTTCTTTTTTCTTTAAATACCATCATGATCAATGTTCAAACGAGCTTTTACCACTATTACAATAAACCAAGACTCATTTATACTTGGCTTCTTATTCAACAAGTTGCATCTTTTTATTGTTCTTGCACATCAAAAAAGACTCTTGCCCATCTTTGTGTTTTTATTTTTAATACATCCTGCAACTCTTAAAGTCTATAGTTAACCATTTTCTAGTATGTCCTTTTATTTTAAAGTAACTCATAACTTAAAAGTAGTTGCTTGCAATCTAGTTGAAAGTAAATTAGAGTTTAAAAATATACAAATATATGCGAGTACGTAATAAATAGTAAATTAAAAATTTTTTTCTAGCCCCCGCTATCAACATTTTATGATTCATTATTTATCATTATTTTATTTAACATTTTGAAAGAAAAACTTATAACAAAAGAAATCAAAATACATGTGGTCTAGACGATTATTTAAAAAAATTTGCGAAAATAAAATACCTTTTGTTTTTAATTTTTTTACAAACACATTTTAAAACTTTAAAATATAATAAAAATGTAAAAATCAGTGTTTTAAACAAACAAACAAAAAAATCTATTACGTCATATACTAAAACTTCTATGAATTAAACGCACTTGAATAAATTATTAAGTCTGTATAATGCGCCTGGAAAATAGCGTTTATTTTACAGACTCTAATTTCCACAGAAAATGGAGAAGACGAGCTTTGACTAAAACAACAAGATTTGTTTTTCTTGGTATACATTTATTAATTAGTTTTAATAAAAAAAAAATGCTCAGACGTTTTTTTTAACATTCTCTTTAATATGAACACAACATGTTTCAGGACTTGGTAGTCCCTTTAATGTTTAAAATACTATTTAAAAAAAATAAGGATACAGGTGAAACTTTCCAAGGAAAGTTTATTTATCTAGTAACTCAAATTCAATTTTTTCTGCTCTGTACTTGATTCCTTTTCAAACTTTATTTATTCTTTGTTAACATTACTAATGTATACTATTTTTTGTTTACAAAATATTTATATTGATTAAAATTAATTAAGAGTAAATTAGAGATTGCTAGCTTTAATTTTATGAAAATAATAGTAAAAACATATACAAGTTTCCATGTGTGATTTTTTGGAAATGCCCATTTAGAGGACATTAAAACTAAAAGTACTAGATAATGTAGTTTTTTCGCTTTCAAATCAAAAGTCAAAAATCTTTAATAAAAAAAACTAGTTTCTCCTTACTAAACTAAACGCTCTGTTATATAAATAAAAACTTTTTGCATACATAAATACAAATAATAAATATTTTCTTCAGTGACGGTTCCACCATTTTTTGGTGTTTATGATAGCTAACATTCAGACATGGAGCAAACTCCAAACATTTGTATGATTATACTTATGTTAAATAATAAGGCTTTACAAAAATTTGCAATGATTGGAGGCTGGGAACAAATAAGCCCCAAAACTTCACCTTCATTATTTTTTAACACTGAGAGATAATACAATGAAACTTAAACTTACTTATCGATGAATATAAGTCTAGTTAAGAATAATACAAAAAATATTTTATCACCTTGTTGCCCTCATGTTTGGGGTGAGGGGGAATAAATTTTTGGGGCTTACTTGCTCATAGTAAACAAATCCTCATTTGTTCCCATCCTACTTGATTAAATGTTTCAAAAAATTTCACAACAACATTAAAAGTGATATTTAAATAAGATTGTAACAAGATTTAAATGATTAAAATTGTTCTTTAGTTTTAAAGCGTCTTCTTTAGTTTTTTAAAGCAAAATCTATGATTCAATACCATTTATTAAAAAAAGCCTAGCATCTACTGTGCTCAGCTGAGCTCATGAAATGTGGTTGTAAATTTTTATCTTTATAATAGTTATATAGATAAAATATATAATTTTATCTATATGAGTTTATTTTGTTCTATTATATATAATTTTATCTGTGTAATTTAAAGTAAATCACATGTGTGGCCTAGTGCAGGCTAGTATTTTTCTGCTTGTGTAAAAAAATGTTGCACATTTTAAGGGGTTTTATCAAAAAACACTTTGAAAAAAGCAAGCATAAAAAATAAATTTTCATATTTATTTTTCTTATTTTGATATATAATGTCAATGGACTAATATAAACCGTTAAGAAAGTAAAATGTTGTAAAATTATCTTGCTGACCTTATATTTAATTTTGATATGAATTTTTACATTTTCACAGTAGGGAAAAAACTATATCAGTTTTAGAGTGCTGGGGGTCTTTAATTTACATTTACAAAAAGAAATTACATCAATATAAAAGTTGGTTTTCAAGGGTTTTGCTCACCTCTAGCCCACTGTGCACTGTCTCGAAAAGACTATATATATATATTTTTGAAATATCCTTATTAATTAGCATTCCATCAAACAAATTTGAAATATTTATTCTAGTGAGTAAGACCCTGGAAAAGGCTTACAGAACACAATCCTTTCTATTGACCTATAATCCAATGCACAGTCAATGACGTAAATGCATCATTACCATGGATATTTGTTAAAATATCTGTTGTAGATAAAATATGATCAGCTGTAGAAATTTCATTAAATACTACTTTTTTTTTTCATATGATAATGGGAGAATTGTTTAAAAAATTTTCTACTCGGAATTAGGTATTGTTGTTGCAAGCAAGAAATCAATTCCATAAACCACTAAAGATCGATTGTCCATTACAATATTGTTTATTATTTTTTTATTAACTTTGGAGAAGTGCAAGCCTTTTATATTCCAAACTTATCAAGAATTTTAGGATCTTAAATGTTTCTTGAATTTTAAACAGTTAAAAAATATAGGATCCTAATAAAGTAAATACTTCTATTTTAACCTAAATGGAAATATAGAAAATGAAGAATTAATTTTAAATATAAATATTATGCAGTTAAAAATTTACAATGCCTAAAATTATAAAAACAAATAAAAACAACATATCAGGTTCTGGTCGGAATTTAACATTTTTATTCCGATAGACCCCTACTTTTAAAACTATAAAGATGAAATAAAGAGTGTTAAACTTGCTGCTTATATAATAATTTTTGGCAGCATTTAACGTTATATAACATTATAGAGCACCTGAAGTTGGTGCCACTGCTAAACATGGCGCCTTAACAAATAGCTTATTTGAAAATTATATTGGACATCAACAATCACTTGGTGCTTGCAAGCATAACCCATCTCTTAATAACTTTAGTTATAATAATTACAAATAAAAAAAGAATAAAATTTTTAGTAGCTGGCAATGTAGTGTAATTAACTTTACGGGTAATATGAATTATTACATTGTAGCAATATAGTATTGAATCATGCTTAATAAAAAAAAAAGAAAGAAATTAAAAGCAATTAAAAATTGTTTGTATTAATTTAAATGGTCTTCGATTTGTTCAAAACAAAATATCTTTTTTTTTTTATAAAACATATTGTAAAATATTAGTGGTGTCATTGATATTTTAAAAAGACAATTATATTAATTTTATTGATCAACCTTTATTTTATCATTAGTTACTACACCATAAAACTATAAAATATTCATTAAGTAATTATATTACTACTTTAGAAGATATTAATAATATACTAAAAATATTTTTCAAAAAAAAGTGGCTTAGAGTATAGCCGTTTTTATTGGTTTATGAAAATAGCCATTTTTATTGGTTTAAGTGATTCCTTTCTCTTAAGTGTCCTTGTTCCTAAGTTGAGAGTATATTTTAAATGCTGCTTTTAATTCATTTAATTTTGTTTGACTTTTTAAAATCTTAAAAGCTTTCAGCTTTTAAAATCTTTCATCATTTTTCCACAAACAATGAACTTTTATGTACAGTGTTAGATGAACATGTGTATTAAGCAGCAAGAATAATAGACACTGCTCATGATGTAAAATAAACATGTTAGAACTAAAATTAATTAAAGGATAAGATGTACCAAAATCATTCCTAATGAGCCTTGATGGATTTTTTTTTTAATAAGGTGGTGAGATAAATGTTTAAATGTTATAACATGATTGATAAAGGAGGTACCGGTCAGATAAACAAAGACAAGATTTGTAACTTCAAAACTTAAAATAATAAAATAAAAGTTTGCTTTGTATACTCCTTTAAAAAAGGCGAATTAATACTTCTTTAACAAAGGTGACTGTATTAATGGAGATATTAATCTCAAAGAAATCCAGCCAAATATAGTTATAAGTACCAATAGAGGATACAAAAGTGCAGAAGCATATATTATAATCAGAAGACCTTAATTTGTGCATTTTGGAAGGCTGTGTAAGATGAGCACTTATAGGACAAATTTTGTTATAATTCAATCAAAGGAACTTTTGAATTTTTTTTAAGTAATTTTGAAGTTTTGTTTCCCTCGTGATGATTTAGTTGGATTGTGATGTTTTTATTAAGGTGTGGATCATGATCCAACTAAATGTAAACACCTTAAAAAAGTGATATTCACTTCACTAAAAGTGTCTAACAATCCTGTAACAAACTAGAATTAAAAACTAAAGAAATTATTCATATAGGGTGAAAAAAACCTAATACATATATCATATGTACTAAGGTGTTGCTCACAAAATATTTTTAAGTAAATTTCTGAGACACCCTCTAATTATGTGTTATTATAGTGCATAAAAAATCATTAGAAAATTGGATAAACAAGAAATTCTATAAATATAAGGGTATCAGCGTTTGTCTCCAGATATAACAAATGGGGCCTTTAATAAGGGGAATCTTAAGTTCTAATAAACAGAGGGAGGGATAAAACTCCCTGATATACGAACAAGATTTCTCAGAATGAAATAAATGGATTTTAAAACAGTTTTCATTAACAACTTTAAATAAGAAATATAAGCATGATCCATTTATTGAAACACATCCTCAAAAGCATTCCTGATTAAATCATAATAATCCATTTCACTTCTGACATTATGTTACATAAGTATATTTTATAAATAATTTTAATAGTTCATTGGTCTATAATCAAAATCTTGTAAATCCAAACTTTTAAAAATGTATTTGTTTAAATTTTATAATAATTTTTGAAATGTGCACAATAAATTAATTTCTTGAAAGGTTTTTCCAGAAATTATTTTATTGTGAATACTTTTTAGGTGAATCAGCATTTTTCAAAACATTCAGAAGAAGTTTGATTTGATCAAACTGCTCTAGAAGAAATCTAACATAACAGAATCAAAAACAAAATATGGTAATAATTGTTTAATTATAGCAACAGTACAAAAACAATCAGTAACAATTGATAACCATAAAAAATCAAATGATTGATGTGATGGAATCATAATTAGATTCCTTAATCCTATCTGCAAAAAAAGATAACTGAGAATTTCAAAAGATCAATGTCATGACAATGTTGCTGTTAACGAAACTGCTGTAAAACATTCCAAAACCCTTAAAAGAGCAATGCTATACCCTGAAATAAAAGTGAATGACGAAACAATATGCGTGAACCCAAATGTTTTCTTAAAGACTAATCATTTTAGTATTTAGTATCATTTAAAGAAAACCCAATATGCTATTACTTAATTAAATTTTTTTAATAAATTCTTTGATCAATAACAATAATTAATATAATTAATGTATATTAAAATATATTGTATATTAGGGACTAAGCAATAATACTACAATAGGCTTGTATGTTAAAGCAAATTCTTAAAGTAGATTTAAATAAAGTAAAAAAAAATTTCCTGAAAACCAAGATTAAAATAAATAAATATTTGATAATAAAAAAGACTTTTTATAATTACATCAATTTCTTGAGTTTAATTGAATTAAAAATTTAGAGTTTTTGTACCTGTAACTGTAGTTTGAGTTGTAGTAGCTGGAGTTGTTGTGGTTAAACCTACAAGCATAAAAAACTATTTAAGATTGCAAATATATATATATATATATATATATATATATATATATATATATATATATATATATATATATATATATATATATATATATATATATATATATATATATATATATATATATATATATATATATATATATATATATATATATATTTATATATATATATATATATATTTATATATATATATATATATATATATATATATATATATATATATATATATATATATATATATATATATATATATATATATATATATATATATATGCAGAGCAGCTCCTAGCTCTTGTGTGGACTTATGCAAAAAATTAAACTTATAGGTCCCTGAAAGTTGAAAAACTGTTTTCCTAGCTTTTTTACTTTTTTTAATTTTCTGAAAGATCTTTCTCCTATTGACACTGACAATAGAATGGTAGAGAGTTTTTTAAGATAAACACATATTTGAGAAAGTATATTTTAAAGCACTTTTTTATATATTTGATTACGAATTGAAATCAGTGGAAATTTTCCTTGATCTAAAATAATCATTAATCAAGTGCATATTTTATAATAAAGTCTTAATTATTCAACAAATTAACTAAGACTTAATTATAAAATAATACTCTAATTAATTAATATTAAATATATCATTTGGTTATTTGTTTAAAACAATTTTAGCATGAGTTTTTCAAAACTCATCACTTGACTCTTCTATTTCTGGTAAACTAACTATTGGTAAAAATAGGTTAGACATCTTTCATATTTACTTGAATGCTACATATATGATAAAAACTTATCTAAAGCAACATCAACTAAAATGACAACATCAACTCTAAATTCGCTTTAAAGACCTGAAAGCAAATTTAGAGTTGATGTTGTCATAGCTTATGTGTTTTTTTTGCGATCTCTTAAAGTTATTTTTAATTGGGTTGTTAATTTCAAAAAGGAATCCTAGTTATAACTCATTCCATTAATCGTTTATCATGAGTTTCTTTATTTGTCTATTGTTGAAATTGAATTGAACTTTTCATGTATAGTAAGTTTTTTGCTCTGAAGTATTTTGTTGCCATCATCAATACATTGGAGAACTTTGTTCCAGATAGTTATTAACAATATAATTGAAAAGACTGTTACTATGGAATCAGACCAACAACTTTTGCATGACTATCTGCTGGCAAATTGGCTTAGTTTTTTTATACAAACAATTGCTTTTTGAATTTCTGAATAATTTTTTGTTAATGGGCGAACAGCATTGATTCGGGTGCTCCATCTAGTATTTGATATTGAGTGAATTGAACAATGAGCAGTTCATTTTATGAACTTCCGTTGAGATAGCTCTTAATGTTTTTAAAGAATTATTTTATTTCTAGGCGTTCTATTTTTTTTGGGTTTCCATTGTGCACACTCCACATAAGTTTAAAGAATGAGCACTGCATGGGGAGAAAAAAGCTTGAGGATGCTTCTCAAGCTTTTTTTCTTCCTTTCTCTATTTTAGTCTTTGCCCCATTATATTTTCCAGACATATTTACTGGTTTTTGTAGCCTTAATCCATGCAAAATGTATATTTAAATAACGTATTTTGACTTACTTGAGATAAACAGTGATTAGACATTGATTTATGATTATCTCAATATTCTTTAATATTATCTAAGTAACTTTATTTGAAGTTTCCTTAATGAATTATCAACTTTGGAACAGAAAAAAAAGTCCACAGTCATTTTAATTAATCATTGAATGTGTTTTTCTAAATGGCAAACTATTTTCTGTCCAAAACATTGTAATACCTAATAACATACGAAGGAATTCTCAGTTTTTCTATTTCTGTGTTAGTACAAAATTGTAAGTATTTGGTGATGCATTTTCTATCATTTATTGCTTTCACTGATTTTTTCCATAAAAAATATTTTCCTAGGTGTTTTTGGTTAACGACCTTGTTAAAAAGTTTTCTTGAGTTTTTTTTACACCATTTCTACAAAAACCTGACATATTGTAATCAAATTCTCTCAAAAAAGAGAAAATGAATAACAAAATATGCCTTTTTAACTTACCAACACTCCACACAAGCAAATCAATTAACCAACAATTATTACATTTATATTTACTGCAGCTAAATAATTACTATCTGACAAATGGAAAGGTTTTCCTAGCTCCTGTTTCATTACTTTTGTGAAATACAAATAAGTGGTTAAAATTATTTTCATTAAGGCAATTTGAACTAGGTATATTATCAACATTATTATTTTAAGTTTCCTCTATGCTTTTATCAAGGTTCTTTTTTAAATTCTTGCTTATCTTGTTACATTGTATGTCAATGATTTTTTTTTAATCTAATTTTTAATAATTTTTTCAGGAAAATAAAGGACTGTGTGTTCATTTTTAGTTCTTTTAGGCTCTTCCACATGTTCATTATCATTTGGAACATTTTAGGATTTTTGATTTTTTTTATTAATTTGAAACTAATTCTGTTTTTACTAATTAATATTGTTTTGATTTGAGTCCCTACTTGACCAAATCTATAGTTTTAACTTTTGGAACTATTGAAATTTATAACCTATTAAAACAATTTAACAACAAAAAAAATATATAATAATAAAGCAATGATATATGCTCATAATGTGAAAATAATTTCATTGATAGAAAAAACTAAAATAAATCTTTCTTTACAGTTTGACCTCAATGTGTTGTTTAACTATACAAAAAGAGAAAAGGTTTATCAGTATACTCTAAACTATAATACTACATTATCGCTATTCATCATGAACTAGTAGTAATGTCATTAAACAAGTTTATGTTAAATTATCTCCATAGACCCAGTCATTTTAATTTCAAACGATTACAATAAAAGTGAGACATTTACAATAAAATGTATATAGAAAATTGGGTGTTAACACAAACTATATTTTGTTTAGATAAAACATCAATAAAATTATTTATACATAACTTTTTAGTCACAACTATAATATGCTTTTTCAAATATGGAACCTATGGTGCCAGAATTATAAGGCAAACTTAGTAATCTTTACAATCAAAATAAAGCAGGCAACTTTTTTAAAAATAAACTCACAAAACTTATCAAAAAAAGATGCAAAAATCCAAAATCTCTATTTGTTATTTTTTTGTTTGTTGTTTAGATTTTTAAAAATAAAGCATTATAAAACAAACATTATTTTATACAAATTTCATACCTCTTTAATTTTCAACTTCTTTTATGCTTTATTACTCATGGTATTTGCATATTAATATGAGAGAAAATGTTTAATATATTAATTGAGTAACAAGGTCCGTACAAATTTAAAACATTTGACTTCGTTTTTAAAAAAATTTAAAAAGCCATAGCACATCATGTCATATGCAAATAGAAATGAATACAAAATGTTTGAAAACCTATGAAAATCATTTACATAAATAAGAAATAGAAGTGGATTCATAATTGAACCTTGGAGAACACTGTAATTTATAGTCATGTAGTCATTTTTTTCTTCTTTATATGAATTGTATTGTTTTCAATTGTTTAAAACTTTTAAATCAGTCAAAGTATATGCTTTTAATACTCATAACTTTCGAATTTATATGTTTTTATTTTTTCCGGACCTTGTAGGGCTTGTCTACAATTGTCACACAAAAAAGGGGGGTGGGGGAGGGAGTTACTGATTTTATGACTATTTGTTACAGGGAAGATGGGATATCTGATTTTTGTAATGTAGTAGACTTTATGTAATGCAGTAGATTTTTTTAGTTTAAAATATAAATATATCTTTCCTTAGATTCAAAAAGTGTCTTACCAAACGTTAATCCTTAGTTGATTATGTACGAGTACGAGTACATACATCAATTTTATAAATATATATAATATATAAGATATTGTATTTATGTAAAACTTTATCCTCTATTTGCTGATATATGATAAGTTTAGTTTTGATCAAACTAAAAGGGTTTAAAGTAACATATTTTACTAGCTAGTTTGTTTATTTACCTTAGCAACGCCATAGCAACAAAAAACTGAGATCTTTTTTTACCCAAGTTAGATGGCCAAAATAACAAATCTTATGAAGCTTCTTTTTCCAAAATCACACTAATTAACTTACCTACCTTTACTCATAATATAATAAGAATGAAATGCTTCATTTGAATTTTGCGTTTGACCATGTAAACATTTTTAAGCAGATAAATCTTTAAATATAGGTCTTATTAATATAGGTCTTATATCAATAACATTACGAAAATAAAAATATTCCTCACAATTTGAACCCACAACTTGTCTTGGCTTTTTTTGAGACATCGACACTACAGTGGTTATAAGAATATTAAAGTTATATATTGTACAATGTCAACCTTTCTCAATTTTTAAAATATGTTCAGTCGTATTTCGGTAACTTCAATCAATATCATGCATAAGGTGAGAGGAATAACCAATCAGGTTTCCTACATATCGATTTTCTCTTTTATGTCATTCTTGGCTTAACGGTTCCATTTAGTCAACATCAGATGTATTTCAGATAATTTCTAGATTAAGCTTGTGTTATAAAAAAAGCATTGCAGGTGAAAAAAGTCCAGTTTGAGTGTATTATTAAAATAAGTTGGTTAATTCAATCTTAGTATATCTTACAACTTCTAATTTAATTCCAATTTAATTCCAATTTGCACTTTTAATTTAATTCTAATTTAATTCCAATTTGCACTATATACTTAAAAATTTCCAAAAAATAAGAATGACACCGTTGATGTAAAAGATATTTAGTTCAAAATAGAATAATCAAGCCTGTCAAAAAAAGTTAGTAAAAGTAGTTTTAAATTTTCTGAGTTTACATATAGGAGTTTCTGAGTTTACATATATAAGTTTCTGAGTTTACATATACGAGTTTCTGAGTTTTACATATAGGTTACCTAATGGCAATATAAAGAATGATCATGTTCTTGGTATGAAGATAAAAACGTTTAACTAAAAGTCATTGTAAGCGTGTAGCAAAGCACAGGCAAAATTTTATTTACTTTTAGGTATACGAAAATGGG